TAGAGGCCAGATCATGAAGAACTTTGTCATGGTAAGGACTTGGGATTTTAACTCTGAGTGAGGCTGGAAGACACTGAAGGTTTTAAGCAGAGAAATGAAATAATCTCACCTACTTTTTTTTAAAAATGGGATCAGTATGGCTGCTTTATGTTTAGTAGACTGGAGGGGGCAAAGTAGAGGTAGAGAAACCAGTTAGGAGGCTAATGCAATAATTCTAGCAAGAGATGATGGTGGTTTGGACTAGACTCATGGTGAGAAGTAGGATTCTGGATATATTTTGCAAGTAGAGTCAACACATTTTCCTGACACATTAATTATGGGTATGAAAGACAATGAGAAATCAAGGATGACACCAAAGTATTTAGCCTAAGCAACTGGCCTGAGATGGGGAAAAAATGAGGGAGAACAGGTTTAGAAAATGGCTGGTAGATCTGGAATTCAGTATTGAACATAAGTATAAAATGCCTCTTAGACATTATGGGAGCCAGCCTTAAGATGGGCCCAGTGATCTTCACCTCCCAGTATTCCCCCACAAAAAAACATGAGGCCAGGGATGTTTTCTTCCTTGTTAAGTTATATCAGTAGCACTGACAAAAGAAACCCCTAGTATAAAATAGATGGTCAATAAATATTTAATGAATAATTTAATATAATCATCACAATATTACTAGATAAGTACTATGATTATCATCACGTTATAGGCCCAGACAGGTGAAGTGATTTGCCTAAGTTCACACAACAAGTTGTGGGGGGGCGGGGGATGAGGTCTATGATTCAAAGTCAGGCAATCTGACACCAGAGTCTCCACTCTCAGACACTATGTGAAATAGCATCCAGAGGAAGATACTGGACTTCTGGCTAAGAAGATGTTCAGAGTATGACTGATTAATAGAAAAAAAATGGGGTTGTTTCTCCAATTTATATAGTTTAGAATGGTCTAATCTAATTGAAAATAGAGATGGGAATCTTAAATATTGTAATGCACAAAATAAACTTTTAAAAAAGTCACTGAGATTGGAATCTGAATAATATGTGATTGGTAGTCTTTGCCTATTTTTCCCCCTTCTTTGCTTTCTTCTTTTGCCCCTTTCCTCCCTCCGTCCCTTCCTTCTTTCCTTCCATGTCTTATGGAACCCCTGGACAGCTCCATAATGGTAATGGTGGTGGCAATTTGGGTAGGAAGGCTATTTAGGAACCATGAACAGTGTTTTGATGACTCAGGTGTCACATTTCCGACAGGAGCACATGACACAGCCTTGGATGCTCTGTGGAATGTTGATGAGAGGGCAGCCTGAATCTTGTGGAGCCTCAGTCTGGAGCAGTGTAGCATGAGTGACTGATTTTTAATTCTTGAGAATTACAAATACACCACTTTAGGAGAAAGCTAGATAACAGGACTTTTTTGGAATTTTGGTACCTAAGAGGTGCAACTTCAGTGATTTGATTACATTTGTCTAAATAAAAAAGCTAGTTTCCTAGCTCATGTCAATCCAATTTAAAACTTTCATTAATTAATTGACCAACTGGTTTCAAGTGGTCTCCACTTTTCCTTCCTCCTTTCATTTCTCTCTCTCCTTCTTCTTTCTAGCTTAATATTTTGTGAGCACTTACCCCATACCAGGCGTTGGGATAATCACCTTGCTTGGTATAGCTCATTTTATTATCACAGCAAGCCTAGGAGATAAGTGTTATCATTAACTATATTTTACATGTAAGGATCCAGAGGTCCTAAGGATTGAAGGAATTTGCCTAAAGTCATAGAGCTAGCATGGTATAGAGCATTAATTCAGACCCAGGCATGTGACTCCAAAGCCTGTGAACACAACTACCACACACCCTGCCTTCTTTCCCTGACCCATTAACTTTGTCTGAAGTTTCACACAGAGCAACCTCAGCATTGGCTAAGCCCATAAGTCCTAAAAGGATTCTGCCTTCTTCTCTTTATATTTCTAATCTTTGCTTGTATTATTTAAAAATGAAAGCTGTTTACCATCCAGGAAGTGTGAAGGGAAAGATAGAACATGGATGTAGAAGAAAAAATCATTTAAAAACAATAGGTGCCTAGGCTGGGCGCGGTGGCTCACGCCTGTAATCCTAGCTCTCTGGGAGGCCGAGGTGGGCGGATTGTTTGAGCTCAGGAGTTTGAAACCAGCCTGAGCAACAGCGAGACCCCGTCTCTACTAAAAAAATAGAAAGAAATTAATTGGACAACTAAAAATATATAGAGAAATTAGGTGGGCATGGTGGCGCATGCCTGTAGTCCCAGCTACTCGGGAGGCTGAGGCAGGAGGATCGCTTGAGCCCAGGAGTGTGAGGTTGCTGTGAGCTAGGCTGACACCACGGCACTCACTCTAGCCCAGGCAAAAGAGTGAGCCTCTGTCTCAAAAAAAAAAAAACAAAAAAAAAAATAGGTGCCTAATAGGGTAGGGAAGTAATAACAATATTTATTGAGTGCCATATGCTTGAGGAACAGAAGCATCCAAAGAAGTGACCACAATTTTTCCTCAGAGGATCTTGTCATCTAAAGGTAGGGAAGTTAGGTAAATATGCATGAAAAACAAATACAAAAGGACATGGAGACAAGCTCAAACTAATTATAGCCTTATGGATCTAATCTTAGAAATGCTGACAAATTACTGAATTGAGTAGAGTGACCAGTGGGGTGTGTTGGGAAAAAAAAATCAGAGAAGAATTGAGTTCTCTTGTGGAGTTTTGAAGAATGAGCATGATATGATCTGACAATAGGAAAAGGTATACCACACAATCACATGGTGGTAGCCTGCTCAGTTAGGCCAGGGAAGAGGTTATTATAGGGCACAGGTAAGCTTTTTCCATTTTAATCAGATTAATGTTTATAGACCAATTTTCCTAAAACAATATTAAAAATAGCTGACATTTTAAAGTGCTTACTATATGTCAGATATACACATATACATAAATAAGGTTTATATACATATTATTTCTCTAATCCTCATAGCAATCCTATGAGGTACAAACTATTATCATCCTCATTTTATAGAGTGGTTAGTTGAATTGCCTGAGGTTACCCAGCTAGTAAATGATGAACTCTGTCTGATTCAGAGGATGAGCTTATTATCCACTATGCCACCTTTCTAATTTCATTTATTTAGAGAGGGTATTCCACATGGCCTAGCAAAGAATACACAATTCCCAATTAAAAAGCCATATTACTAAGCTGTAGTAAATTTTATTTTCTAAATATCTCTTGAATCTGTTCACCTTTCTCTGTCTTGACTATCACCACCATAGTGTAAGAAACCATCACTTCTCACCTGAACAACGGCAATAGTCTCCTGTTTCCACGTTTGCTCTTTTCCAATTCTTCTTCAGAATGATTTCTATAAAACACAAAGAGGACCATGTCCCTTCCTTGCTTAAAACACTTTGATGGGCTCCCTTACTCCCACTGGTTTAATGTCTGTCCCTTCCATTGGACTGTGGGGAGGTGGCTGTGTCTTTCAAGTGTTGTTATCTACAGCATTTAGAATAGTGCCTCATACATAGTAGAATGTAAATACATTTTTGTTGAATGAGTGGAATCCAAATGACCTTTAAAAAGAGGATTATTAGTTATTACACTTAAATAAGAAAATTAAAAAGGATGAATTTGGAGGCATGAAAGCAGGTTTTTCATAATCATGTAATTACTTGTTTGCTTCCTGCTTTAATCTCATGCCTTTAGACTGTGAGCTCCATGAGGGCAGGGACCCTGTCTGTCTTATCCCCTACTCTATCCCAGCTTTAAGTCAGGTTCACGGGAGGTGCTCAATAAATATTTGTTGTATGAATAATTTTGATTACCAATGTGGACTGGAACGTGATGAATCAAAGATGACAAATAGTACTAGAACAGGAGGTATAACCACAGTTATAAGTGCTGTGAGGATTATTTCATTCACTCAATGTATATTTATAAGGCACCTACTATGTGCCCAACATTGTGGTAGGCACAGTCTCTGCTGTCATGGAACTTGTAGTTTAGTGATAAATAAATAGGAAATTAAATTTGGTGAGATAAATTTTCCAAGGAAGAGCAGGAAGGGGTTGCTTAAGGGAACATCTAGGAGGGGACATTTCACCTAGACTCAGGCTGTCAGGAAGTGATGTCTAAATGGTTAGTAGCTAAAGGAAGAGGGTGAAGAAAGTGACGGAGAATATTTGTTATATAAAAGCCCAGAGGTAGGAGAGGCATGGGTAGGTTTCTTTATAGCCTAAAGTTCCCTCGTCTTTTCTTTCATTCAACAAATTTTTGTGTCCATATCATGTGCCAGGCATTGTTTTAAGCCGTCATTAAACTTGTATTTCAAAACTAGTTATTTAAAAATGTAAAAAAAAGTGTGAGTAGTTCAGAAAGTAAAAGCCTTGGAAGAGCGCTGTTCAGCAAATTCTGCGATGATGGAAATGTTCTCTATGTGCACCATCCAATACGTTAGCCACTCCCACATGCACTATTGCGCACTTGAAATGTAGCTGACGCGACTGAAGAAATGAACTTATTTAATTTTAATTAATTAAAATTTAAATTGTGATATATGGTTAGTGACCACCACGTCGGACACTTTAGCCTTGGATGGGTAGCGCAGTCTAAATGGTCTGAGCCTGGTACCGGGACCAGGTATAAGATTTTCAATTCTTCCCTTAAAAATGGAGATTGTTAATAAATCGTTATAAAATGTCTAAATGCTGGGCTGTTGAATGCCACCGACAATAATAAATATCTGTGTGTAGGGGCAAGCCATAATCAGCACCTCAGTCATCAAACGGCCATTAACTTCGTATCCTGGCATCCCGAAAACCCGCCAGCTCCACAGGGTGAAAAGGTTGAAGGTCAGGGAACTCCACGCTAACCAGGACGCACTTACGGCATTCTGCGACCCTGAACTGCATCATGGGCTTTGTAGTTCAGCATGCCGGGGTCACCTCTCAGTGGGCCTATCGAGTAGACTTCCGGTGTCCCGTTGCCCTCTGGGAACTGTAGTTAATAGGCGCCTGCTGGGCGCCGGCTCTGGTGGACTAGAAACTACAATTCCCGGCGGGCCAAGAGACGTGCCCGGCTGTAGTTAGTTGTGAGCCGGGAGATTGCCTCAGCAGGTGTGAAGCGTGTGCTTTAGTGTCGTGGGAGGCCGGCTTCCTCAAGAGGGAGGGGAAAGGTTGTAACCACTCCTTTGAGGGGGTCGTCGGAGTCACTGTCGTGGATTTGTAGAGTCTGCTGGGCGGCGCCATGGCGGTGAGTTTGGGCGGGAAGAGAGTCCGCTGGGCTGGGCCCTGGATCCGGGCTGGCTCGCTTTGGGGGCTCTGCATGTGCTTCTAATCGCTGTCCTGAAGGGAAAAATCCTTTTCTAAGGAAGAGGGCTCCCCCAAACCCCCCACACATTTAAGGCGTGGCTGTCATCGAGAATTTGCTTTTTCATGCTAGCTGATGACCCAGGAACTGATGTCTTTAACTTTATAGACTATTTGAATGTCATTTTTATTATTTTACTGAAGATTCTAAAACCGACGTGGGGAGAGAGGAGTATGTAACATGGATTCCTCCTTTCAGCAAATAGTAGAGCACCTCTCCGTAAAACACAAAAATCTCTTCGTGGGTTTTACGTATGCGTGTGTGCTACATACTAAAATATACGGCAAAATATTATGTCAGGTGCTGATAAGTGCTATGGGAAAAAAATGGAGCAGGAAGTGCGGCTAGGGAGTGGGGGTGGGTGGGAGTACAGTTGCAATTTTGAAAAGGGTGGTCAAGCAAGGCTTTGCTAAGAAGGTGGCACAAAGGAAGTATGGGAGCAAGCCGTGCAACTATATGCAGGAAGAGATTTCCAGGCAGAAGGAACAGTGTGAATGAAAAGCAAGGAGGGTTGTATGGCTAAAGGACCGTGATCCAAGGGAGATGTGTGTGTGTGTACTGAGGGGAGGGACGTTGGTGGTGGTCAGCGGGTGGGTTTTGTAAGGCCTTGTAGGTTGCTGCAAGAACTTTGATATTAACTCTGGAAGCCATTGGAATGTTTTGCATAGATAAGTGACAGGACGCAGACCTGATTATTTAAAAATTATGACTCTGGCTGCTGCTGTGTTGCGGGGGACGGTAATTAAAGCAGACAGATCAGTAAGAGTTCTGAGTAATCAGCTGAGAGAGGATGGGGGGCTCGGGACATGGTAGAAGTAATGGAGGTGATGACAAGTGGTTGGATTCTGGATATATTCTGAAGGTACAGCCAACAGGATTTGCTGATGGATTGGATGTTGACGATTTGGAAAGCTGTGGGAGGAGCAGGATTTGGTTGGGGCAGATGTGGGATCAGAGGTTCTTTATTTGTACATGTTAAGTTTGAAATGCCTGTTAAACATTTCAGGTGGATCTCTGTGAATTTGGAGATCAGAGGAGAGTTTGGGTCTAGAGGGGAATATTGATAGTATTTAAAGCCATGGGGCTGGGTGAGGTTACTAAGGTAAGTATTAGGTATATATAGAGTATACAGGAGAGCCAGAAAATGTGATGAAGAGTATCCAGCAAAGGCAACTGAGTAGGAAGTACCAGTGAGAGAGGAAGGCCCTTAGGAGAATGTGGTGTCCTGGAAACCAGATAAAGGAAGTGTTTCAAGGAAGAGAGTGTCAAGAGCTATTAGTTGATCAAAGTAATGAATGAAGACTGAGAATTGACTATTGGGTTTAGGAACATGGAGGTCATTTACACTGTTTCTGAGGCATGATGGGCAAAAGCCTGATTGAAGAGTGATTTCAATAAAGAATGGGCAGAGAGAGATCGGAGATAATGAGTATGGACAACTTTTGAGGAATTCTGCTATGAAGGAGAGCAGAAGAGTGAGGTAGTAGATAAAGATCAAAAGAGGGCTTTAAAAAATGGGAGAAATTACACAGTGCTTGTGTGCTCATAGGAGTTATTCTGTAGAAAGGGAAGATTGATGCAGAAAAGAGAGGGACAATTGCTGGAGTGATGTTCTTGAATACGACAGAGTGGATGGCATCCATTGCGTCAGTAGAGGAGTTAAACAGGACCACACTCATCTGAAGTGACAGGGAAGAAGGCAGAGTATATGGGTACAGGTGTGATGAGGGAGCTTGTAGAAGTTTTCTGTTCACTCCTGTTTTCTCAGTGAAATAGGAAGCAGGGTTGTCAGCTAAGAGTAAGGATTGGAGGGAAGGTGTTGGAGGCTTAAGGAGAGAGGAGAGAGGAGAAGGTGTGAAACAATTGTCTAGGACAGTCCTGTCAATAGGACTTTCAGTGGTGATGGAAATGTTCTGTGTTGGTACTACTTTAGCAGCCACTAGCCACACATGGCTATTGAACATTTGAAATGTGGGCTAGTGCAACTGAAGGGCTGAGTTTTTAATGTAACTTTAATTAACTGAAAATTAAATAGCCATATGTGGCTAGTAGCTACTGTATTGGGCAGTATGCACATTAAAGTTTAAGGAAGACTGGTCTAGGAGAAGGACTGACTAAGTGAATTTCAGAAATTGGTAGTATTTTTTGCTGTCACTTGAGGTTAGTGGTCATGAATTTAAATTGAGACCAGTTAGGATGGTGTAGTGTTTTTTTTCCTACCACTTTGAGCTGCCTAGATGAAACAGCAGACAGAGTGGATAGAAGGCTGAAGTTTTTCCAGGTAAGAATGATGAAGTAAGAGCAGGTCAGGAGCCAGGAGTGATTATACTGATGGACTTAAGGTAGGGGAGTATAGACATGGGACAAGGTGGAGTGGAGGGCTGAGGATTAGCAGCCGGGATAAGCACTCAGGATCATTAGGCCCCAATACGATTGAAGAATTATTAGAGTTGGAATTCTTGAAGGGTCATCTGTGTATTACATTAAAATCTTTTGAAATGATCTGTGTGGCTGTTGAATTTGCCAAAATGATGAGAGAGGTAGTGGGGAGAGTGACCATGAACGAAGAACTAAAAATCTCAAGGAAAGAGAGTGTAAGGCAGGAATTATTATCTCCATTGTACACTGGCGGAATCTGATTCTACAAGGTCAAGTATCCTTAAGTAAAAAGCAATATAAGTTGTATTTATATAGCATCTGGCAGCTTACAAAAAACTCTTGAGTGCAGAAAATAGATTGGGGCAATTGAGAGAGACTGAAAACCTGGGCAGAACCTATCTAGGATTCTGTAGCTAGTAAGTGGTTGAGCCAGGATATGGGCAAAATAGCAAAAGAAAGGAAAAATAGGAGTCAGAAGATGAAGGTGTTTGTCCAGCTCCATGATTTGCTGGCTTGATCTCTGAACTTCAGATTGATTTCCTTTAAATGGTAATTGCTTCTCTGCTCACTTCTTAGGGTTGTTGTTACAAGTGAATAAGTTAATGTTTATAAAAGTGCTTTAAGAACTGCACAATGCTATGAATATATGAAAAGGTTTGTTATCTAGTTCAGTGGCTCTATACCGAGGGTGATTTTGCCCCCAGGGGATATTTGGCAATGTCTGGGAACACTTTCGATTGTCATAACTGGGGGAGTGCTGCTAGCATTTCGTGGGTAGAAGCCAGGGATGCTTCTGAGCATCCCACAGTGCCCAGGATAAATATTTGGCCCAACATGTCAGCAGTGCCAAAGTTTAGGAACTCTAGTTAAATAACCTTTTTTTTCTTTCTAAAAGAAATAATAAATAGGCTGGGCACAGTGGCTCACATCTGTAATCATAGCACTCTGGGAGGCTGAGGTGGGAGGATTGCTTGAGCTCAGGAATTCAAGACCAGCCTAAGCAAGACCCGGTCTCTACAAAAAATAGAAAAATTAACCGGGCATGGTGGCACATACCTATAGTCCCAGCTACTCAAGAAACTGAGGAAGGAGGATTGCTTGAGCCCAGGAGTTTGAGGTCGCAGTGAGCTATTATGATGCCAGTGCACTCTAGCCAGGGTGATAGAGTGAGACTCTATCTCAAAAAAAAAAAAAAAAGAAAAAGAAAGAAATAATAAATGATCTTTTGTTACCAATGAAAAAGTTGAGGCTCAGATTGATCAAGTGACTTGCTCAAGGTTATGCAACAAGTTGGTGGTGGGGCCAGTATCAGATTTCATTACAGTCAACCTTTGAGGTTTTGAGGAACTAGTTTTTCTGAGAAGCAGAAAACTTAAAAAAGAACTTTTGTGGTTAGCATGCTCAGTATGATGAAAAGAAACACATAGTTCTAAGTAAGTTGTGAAGACTTGCTTTCATGTTCTTTTTAAAAGTGGGTAATGTCATTTTTAAGCAAAAAATAATTTGTCATGGAACTTCTGTGCCAGTGGCATTGTATTTGGTGCTGAGGTGACTGTAAAACATCTAAAAGTTCCTGCCTGTGGGGAGTTTGCAACCCTACTGGGTAAATGTCTTAGGGATCATTTGGTTGCATGCAATGGAAGTCAACTCAAGTAAGTTTAAGTAAAGAGGAATTTAGTAATGATACAATGGAATATCATATGACCCACGACTGTAGGGTAGGAGGTACACCTAAGTTTCATGAGGCCCTAGATACTTTTGCCTTTGTGGCCCTTTCCTCTGTAAAAATATTAAAAATTATATTTTACAACTCATTGATATAAAGACAGACTATATGTTAAATTTTTTTCTTTGGCCTCCAACTTCATTTTTTTCTTTTGATTTTAAAAAAGACAAGACATTTTCATGAAGCCCCTAACAGTACTGTGGGCCCTAAGCACTGTGCCTACTGTAACTATTGCATAAATCAGCCATTAGGAGTTGTACAGGATGTTTTAAGGGCTAGGTGGAAGTGACTTAACTTTGTTCTGCCCAAAACCACTTTGGCAGAACCCAATCACATACCTACAGTCTAATTGTGAATACATCTGGAGATGGAGAAGAATGTGCTTAACTGTATTTGCTGCACTACCCTACATAAGTTTGGCTTCTATTACTCAGTTAAAAAGGGGAGGTTGTATATGCTGTTGCTGCCATAGTTATTTTAAAATGGTAGTCCTTACATATTAGAATTGGAAACAGGGTTTAGCGTATACTGGAATAGAGAGATAGGAGGCAGGGTTACCTATTAAAGAGAGGTTTTGCAGTAAGAGGGGGCAAATGAGTTATAGCCTAAATGAAGGTGGTTGGTAGCAGAAATGGAAAGAAATGAACAGATGCAAGGGCTTATTCGTTCTTGGAAAAGGAAATAACATTATGCAACCACACTTTTTTGTAATGTAAACTTAAGAGTCCAGATTTCTTACCACCTTGATTCAAATACACAGCCCAGTTCCTAGTTCATGTTACTTCTTTATGGCCACAATATGCAAAAGCTGGCAAAGTGTTATTCACTTCTTTATTAAAATGTTTAAATATTCAACAGATATTTATTGAGGGCCTACTATAAGGTAGACATTGAGGATATAATGAAAAACAAAACAGAGTCCCCACCATGAACAAACTTATAGTCTGGTGGGGGAAACAGATACTGACATCACTGTGTGATTAGTACCATCATAGGGAAAATATTGGTATGTAGGAACATACTAAGAGGGGCATCTCATGAATTCTTGGAGAGTCAAGGGGGGTGACTATCTGAGACCTGAAGATGAGATAGCTGGGCAAAGAGATTAGTGGGGTATAAGGGCAGAGTGAATAGCTTGAATGAAGGCCCAAAGGTGAGAGAGAGAGCTTGGCACATTTGGGAAAATGCAGGTGGTAATAGGCCTAGAATGGTGGTAGAGGAATGGAAGGGAGGGAAGAAAGGAATGGCCTGGCAGAGATGAGACCAGAAGGGCCTTGAATGGCAGGTTTAAGAGTATGGACTTGATTATCCTGAGAGCAGTAGGGAGCCTCTGAAAGGGGATTGACTTGATCAAATTTGTGGGGTTTTGTTTGTTTGTTTGTTTGTTTTGCTGAGGGTGACTTTAGCAGGGCTTGGGCTGACTCTTCCATCTTGGGGTTAAGGTCAAAGAGGAAGGGCATCACATCTCCCAGTTGCTGGGGGAAGAGGCAAACCTCTTCCAAGGGGGAGACTGCTTGCTGGAGGAAAGGGGCCGTGATTCTACCCCTGTGGCCTCTGAGCCATTGGCATCATCCTCATTCGGAGGTGATGGGCGTGTGCTTGTCAGAGCCTCTCTCTTACTAGGGTCGGGGACCTCTATCTTTCCAGGGGGACACACAGTGTTGGGGTTTGCCCACATCTACAAATTGGGCTCAAAACCTGGACTGTGTTCATCAGCGTTGGCTTTTTTCCCAGGGGTAATTTCAGTGGATCACCTCTTCAGAGTTTATATCTGTTAAGGTTCTGCTCCGCTACGGGAAGGTGTGCTGTGGTGAAGGCCAAAAAGGACTTGTTCCCTATGTCCCAGTCCCACAATCCTGGGACCTGGCCATGGAGGCTGTCCCAGAAGTTGAGATGTTGAAGTTTCCGGTCCACCTTTAGCAAGAGGAGAGATAGACTGGCACAGGGTTGGAGAGTCGGAAGAGACTAAGGAGATTTGTGTTTTAATATGATTTCCACCCACAGAAATTATGATCTGGTCAGGATTTATAGAAACAAAAACTGATTTGTTACTTTTATTTTCTTTGGTTCTTAAAATAACTTATGTCCATGACTTTTTCATATTACAGAGTTCTTTCTCATTTCCCCTCTGTTTTGTGACGAGGTTCTTCCTTAATCCATCATTTTAACTCCTCCTTGTAAGATGGCACTTCATTTTTCTTTGCTTTCCCTTCTCTTCTATCTTATACTTGCCTAAAAAATAAAAAGGAATAGTAAACCATTTTTTGATTTAAAATACAGAAAAGTAAAAATAGTCAAAAAGTTGACAGATTTATGGTTGATTTGTACTGAATCTTAGCTAATTTCAATACTATTATATTTCTTAATGTGTAGGTTGATTTAAGACAGTTATTGGAGAAATAGTGATGAGTTTGTTTTGTTTTGTTTTTTTTTTGATTGCATAGAATTCCTCTTGGTATAATTCTTCAAATTTGTGTAACCATTTAAAAAATAGCTAGTATCTTTGAACACCTTACTAAAAAAATAGCTAAGAATGCAGTATATCTGTGATGCGAATAGAAAGCACTTTTAAAATTGTTGGATGGGTACAGGGAAGGTGTGATTAAAGGAGACTGAGATCCAAAGGTTAGGTACAAGATGGTGTGGATACTTGTCTAGTAGGTTGAAGAAATATGAGTGGAACTCAGGTATTTTCTCATTTGAAAATGCTACAGAATCTGGAAAGATTAGCATGCAAGAAGGGAAAGAAAATCTAATTGCAATTCAAATAACTTTATACCAGAAAATAAAATCATAGAAACTAATATTAATTTGTCAAAGCAGAATTAGCTTTGTTTGTGTCTGGTCCGTTGGTATCCTAAGCTTTCACTCCTGCCTGTTGTATAAGTGCTGTGTTCCACTGCTATTAGGAGTTAATTCTTTTTCACATAAAGTAACAAACTGAGAATTCAACTCTAACCCTTCTTTTCCAGAGGTATAGTGATCTTGCATGCTCTTTTCTTCCACTTTCATCCAAGGGTGGCTTAAGGGGTGATGGGAATGTCGCCAGGTAGGTCCAATATACTAGAGACTTGCTTGTCATTTTCTGTGTCGTTTTAGTTTCACATTAATCTGTTAACCATTTTGGAGAGAAGTTCTTTATCAATGTCCTTGAAAAAACACATATAGATGACTAATCCTCCCTTAACCTCCACCCATTGGTCCTCAGTGTTCTCCTTTGGTGGACATGATTGTAGCTTGACTAGTAGGCACTGCTCCATCCTATACTTTTCGAAGTATTCATATATTTTAACTAAATGGGAACATTTGATGACAGTGTTACATGGTAGTCTCTAATTTTAAAAATGTATTTCCAAGCTTTTTGTGTATTTAAGTAATTTTTTAACCATTACTTTGACGTTTGAAGTAGATGGGTTATGATAACCCTAATTTTTAATCTTGCTGATTTAAATTTCAAGATAACCATGGAAGAATCTATCAGTGAGCGTCTCAGTTCTGTGTGAACCCAATTCTTTTTTAAAGCAAGCCTGCTGAAGTGTAGAGTGGATTATTCTATATCTTTTGTGTCCAATAGGAAAGAAAAGGAACAGCTAAAGTGGACTTTTTGAAGAAAATTGAGAAAGAAATCCAACAGAAATGGGATACTGAGAAAGTGTTTGAAGTCGATGCATCTAATTTGGAAAAGCAGACTAGGTGAGTAATAGTTTGTGAAGCTCTGCACGTTGCATTTCTGAAACCATTGGCTTTATAGCACAAAAACTGCTCAGTGGAACACATAAGGCAGATTGTATTTATGATATCTGAAACAGGCTGAATGAGGTGACTTCCACTTTCTGCATTCAAATTAGGATCTTTTCTGTTTTTGAAACAGGGTCTTGCTCTATTGCCCAGGCTGTAGTGCAGTGGTGAGAACATAGCTTACTGTAGCCTCAAAGTCCTGGGCTCAAGTGATTCTCCCGCCTCAGCCTCCCAAGTAGCTGGAACTGCAGGCATGTGCTACCATGCCTGGCTAAATATTTACGTTTTTTGTAGAGATGAGGTCTCGCTATGTTGTCCAGGCTGGTCTTGAACTGGCCTCAAGCAATCCTCCTGCCTCAGCTTCCCAAAGTGCTGCGATTACAGACATTAGCCACTGCACCTGTCCTAAATTTTTAATTTTATTTTTTTGAGGTGGGATCTTGCTGTGTTTCCTAGGCTGGAGTACAGTGGTGCAATCACAGCTTATTGCAACTTCCAACTTCTGGGTTCAAGAGATCCTCCTGGCTAACCTTCTGAGTAGCTAGGACTACATGTGTGCACCACCATGGCTGCCTAATTTTTTTGTTGGATCTTTTTTCCTATGGAATTCTTAAAGATTTTTTTTCTGTATTTTTCACTAGTATTTTTAATATTTAGACAAGGGAGGATGTTTTGAAGTTTTGTCTTTGCTGACAGATAAAAGGAAATTATACAATTAGAGTCATTGTGATTGTTACCTTCAAAGACAGAAAATATGAATTTTTAAAGCATTTGTATATATGAAGATCTTATTTCATAAATACTATATTGCATTGATGCTATGATATCATTGATTTTAAGACAAACCATAGGTAATGTTATGATATTGGGGAAAAACAAAAATGAAATAACTGCCCCCAAAACAGTGCCACAATAAATATATGCATAAGATGTATCCTAGCTTCAGATATGTTTAAATGTAGGAAAATGTGCTGTTTTGAATTAAGAAAATACAGTGATAACAATAACATTTATAGTAAGCTAACATTGAACACTTACTGTGTGCTAAAAACATGCCATGTTTTTTACATACGTACTCACTTAATCTCTTAATAACCCTTCAAAGTTAACAATTTTTTAAATTCCTATTTTATAAATGAGGAAACTGAGGCACAAAGAGGCTAAGTAACCAGCTCAAGGTTACATTGCCAGGAATTGACAAAGCCTAGGCTTGTTTTTAGGACTTTCTGCTTCCAAAGTCTATCCTTCTTGCTACTAAGCTATACTCTGATGGATTTTTTTTTCTTTTTTAAAAGAGAAGAAGAAATTGATGTAATACAAAGTCTCTAGTGTTATACTTTAAACTATAATTTGTAGCTTCTATTTGGTTCTCGAATTTTGGTCAACCTTAAGGTAATTTAAAATAATCGAGAGCCAGGTGTGGTGGCTTGTGCCTGTAATCCCAGCTACTTGGAAGTCTGGGGTGGGAGGATTGCTTGGGCTCAAGAGTTTGAGGCTGCAGTGATCTGTGATCACGCCACTGCACTGTAGCTTGGGTGAAAGAGTGAGACCCTCTCTCAAACAACCAAAAACAAAACAAAAAAAATTGAAAGTGAGGTGAAAAGACTTCTTTGTTCAGTGGAAGAGAATGGACTATTGGTAAATGCAGCAACACTGAAGAAACCTAGTAATATAAAGCTAAGTGAAGAAAGTAAATTGCAGAAGTCTATAAGAAATATGCCATTTTTGGTATAAAGCTCACAAGTGAGGGAAACTAAATAATAAATTACTTAAGGGCACAGACATGCAAACTATTCAAAAATAAGGGAATAGACTGGACGTGATGGCTCACACCCGTAATCCTAGTAATTTGGGAGGGTGAGGTGGGAGGATTGCTTGAGGCCAGGTATTTGAGACCAACCTGAGCAATGAATGAGACACTGTCTCTCCAAAAATAGAAAAATTAGCCAGGTATTGTGGCAAGCACCTGTAGTCTCAGCTACTCAGATGGTTGAGGTAGGAGACTCACTTGAGCCCAGGAGTTTGAGGTTGTAGTAAGCTATGATAATGCCACTGCACTCTGGGCAACAGAACAAGACCCTGTCTCAAAAATAACAGCAAAATGAAGGGAATGGGAAAAGTGAATTTCAGAATATTGGTTATCTCTGGTAGGAGACTGGGGAGGAACACAAAGGTAGTTTCAGTGGATTCACAAGTCAGATGATGTGTTTACAAGTGTTCTTTTTATTATACTTCATAACATATGTTAGCTACACGTCATAAGAAAAAAGAATAAACATCTTTAAAAAGGTGCTTTTTAAGTGAATCTACCGCATACTACATAATATTGAGGATGTTTTCTTTCACCTGAGGGACTTTGAATTGCTATGTGTATATCTAGTGAAAACCTCATTTAATCAGTAAAACATTAAATTAGTCTGGATTCCTAAGAATATGAAAGAGTATTTTTTAGTATTTTATCTTTACTCAAGTATTTTCTTTTCTTTTTCTTTTTTTTCTTTTCTTTTTAGAGGAATTTTTTTTTTTTTGAGACAGAGTCCGGGCATCAGCCTAGCTCACAGCAACCTCAAGTTCCTGGGCTCAAGCAATCCTTCTGCCTCAGCCTCCCGAGTAGCTGGGACTACAGGCATGTGCCACCATGCCTGGCTGATTTTTTTTTTTTTTTATTCTATTTTAGTTGCCCAGCTAATTTCTTTCTATTGCTAGTACAGATGGTGTCTTGCTCTTGCTGAGGCTGGTCTCGAACTCCTGACCTCGAGTGATACTCCCTCCTTGGCCTCCCTGAGTGCTGGGATTACAGGCATCCCGGCTTACTCAAGTATTTTAGCTTAAGTTAAACCTCTAGTATTTGCTACAAGGATATTTATTTCTTAACAGTCACCTATAAATGTCTTATTCTTTCTGAATCAAAAGTAAGTTTTAGTTTTAGAGAGCTTTTAATTTTTGGATTTATAAATTTGCTTTTAAATGTCTTTTAAATAACTAAAATTTAAACAAGTTATTTATATCAAGCATTCTCTGCTCCACTATTGTTGTAAAAGGAATTTAACATTTTCTCTTCTGTATTTTCTTTCTGACATCATTGTTTTACAGCAAGGGCAAGTACTTTGTAACCTTCCCTTTTCCATATATGAATGGGCGCCTTCATTTGGGACACACATTTTCTTTATCCAAATGTGAGGTAAACCTTCTATGTTTACTGTGATGGGATGGAGGATCTTTAATAAATATTGTTCTGAAAAAAATTGTATAGAATTTATTTCTTGTTAAGGGAACATAGAATTCTTTACTCTAAAGCATAATTTTTATATTTAAGTAATTTGATCTGTATATTTAATTTTCGTATGCCGTATGTGTATGTGTGCAGGGGCCTGTGCTTGTATGTATGTTCAAAAGTAATTCCCAGGTTGGTGAAAAGAGGAGAAAGAAAGGACAGTGCACTAGAATTTTGTAATGACTGAAATCTAACTGGTATTCTAAAGGAAATGTGAAGAGAAAAACTAATGCTTTTTGTGAAAAGTCAGCATTTTGTATTTGTCTGGCATTTAAATTTGTGATTTAAATTTAATTTTCTTTCTGTAGTTTGCAGTAGGGTACCAGCGATTGAAAGGAAAAAGTTGTCTGTTTCCCTTTGGCTTGCACTGTACTGGAATGCCTATTAAGGTAAAATTGCTTATAGGATTGGTTTCTGCTCTTTTACCTTAGAGCAAATAGTAATATCCAATTTAAGAGCTTAAAATAGGATTTTCAAACACTGCTATGTTATATTAAAGTTTGTGAAATGAGTTGAATTTATTATAGTGAAAATTAATTAAAAAAAAACATTTGAAGAAGTGCTTAAATAAAGGGTATGCATTATGGTCTAAGTGATTATTAAGTAATTTTTACCTTATATATTCATGTCTATTTTAGAATTAGGTAATAACTAATTGTATTTTACTAACAAGTAAAATGCACAGCAGTTTGTGCATTTGTGACATGTATAGGGTGTTGGCATAAAATAAATAGTGTGTCATATTTTGGTCATTTTTGCAAAACTCTTCATTTTTTCATAAATTTATGTTACAAATAATTCTCAATGAAGAATAGGCCAAAAAACTAGAGTTGAAAGGATTCCCTAAATGTAGGGAAATGTAGGATTAGGAAATTTAACTCCCATTTCTTTTTATTCTCCAACCTTTTTTTTTATTTTGAAAAATGTCAATCCTACAGAAAAGGTGAAAGGATCTTATACTGAACACCCATATACCCTCCACCTGTAGTTACCAAGAATTAACATTCACCATGTTTGCTTCAGTTCTCCCCACACATACATGCACACGTGCATGCTTTTCTCCTACGAACTTCTTGAAAGTAAGTTGCAGATATCATGACATGTCACCCCTTAATAGTTCAGCATGTATCTCCTGAGAACAAGGGCATTCTTCTCCATCGTTGAAATCCCATTATCCCCTCCAAGAAATTCAGCATTGATGTAATATTATCATCTTTATCTAATCTAGTCAAATTTCTCTAGTCCCAAAATGTCCTTTCTGGTCGTTTTTTACTTTTTATTTTGTGGATCGCACATTATATTTAGTTATCAGTTCTCTTCAGTATCTTTTAGTTGTTTGTCATGATGGTATTGATATTTTTGAAGAGTCTAAGCTAGTTATTTTGTAGAATATCCCATAATCTGAGTTTTCTGGTCATTTCTTCATGATTTGATTTGGGCTAAATATTTTGACAAGAATACTTCATTGATGAAGTGCAAACTTCCCATTGTATCACATCAAAAAGTGGATAATGTCATTTTGGTGATTTATGTTAATCTCTGCCAGATTTCTTCATCCTACTGGTGACTTTTTCCCTTTGGAATTAAAAAGTAATCTATGGCATAATACTTTGAGAGCCTGTGAATATCTGTTTCTCAATAAGCCAGTGGTTTTAGCATCCTTTGGTGATTCTTGCCTGTTTTAATTGTATTAGTGATCACAAAAAGATGACTTTCTGGTAGTATCATTCTTCCCTCATTTATTAACTGAAATGCTTCTGTATAGAAAAGCTCCCTCTTTTTAAAAGATTTTCAATTCTATGTTTGTATTTTTCTTAAAACTTTAACACTGTCTACTTGGTGTCATCTTTATTTTTGACGGTGGACTCATTGTTGTATAATTGATAAGAGCTGGGATAGAAAGTCCAGGTTCTTTGTAACCTAGGATAAATCACTTCATATCTCAGCATTTGTTTTCTATCTTAATCCCTGTCCTGTATACCTAGTAGGCTTGTTATGGTAACTAATAGAGTATGTTTGACAGTAATCTTTAGATTGATAAACATTGTTATTAATGTTATTCAAAGTGATAACATGTTTTATATATCTTGATACTTCTAATGACTAGCATATAGTATATTACGTTGAGTATTCTGGGTGTTGAATAAATGCTTGCTGATTAAATGAGGTAAAACACTAATTTATAAATTAGTGAATTTTGAGATATATGATTTGTACCATTTGTTTTCTATAATCAAGTATGTATAGATATATTGCAAAAATTTTTAGAAAGAGTCAATTTTAGTTGGCCATAAAAACAAAAAACTTAAGTTGTGTCTACCTTGAATTTTGAACTTCACTATCTCTAATGTTGTATTATAGGCTTGTGCTGATAAGTTGAAAAGAGAAATAGAGCTGTATGGTTGCCCCCCTGATTTTCCAGATGAAGAAGAGGAAGAGGAAGAAATCAATGTTAAAACAGAAGATATAATAATTAAGGATAAAGCTAAAGGAAAAAAGGTTTGGTGATTGTTGATATTTATGTTGATTGAAATTTTATATTTTTCTGATATGTAATTCCCAATACTAGCACAGTGCCTTGCACATAAAGTGTACTTTGTAATTTTTAAAAAGTATCGATGCAAAAATTATCTTCCTCACTTTCTCATTGCCTTTCCCTCTTCTTTCTTTGTTTTGAAATAATTTTAGATTTACAGAAGAATTGCAAGATAGTATAGAGAAGTTAATTTCCTTATAATCTTCACCTAGTTCCCCTAATTTTACATTTTATATAACTATGATATAGTCATCAAAAATAAGAAATCAACTGTAGTATAACACTATTAACTAAATTACAGACTTCTTTTGAATTTCATCAGATTTTTCACTAATGTTCTTTTCTGTTCTAAGGTCCAATCCAGGATCCCACGTTGCATTTAGTCGTTATGTCTACTAAGTCTCCTCTGTCTTTCATTGTCTTCCATGAACTTGATGCCTTTTTTTGCCCCCCGAGACTGAGTCTCGCTCTGTCACCTAGGCTAGAGTGCCCTGTCACCTGGGTTAGAGTGCTGTGGCATCAGCATAGCTCACAGCGACCTCAAATTCCTGGCCTCAAGCAATTCTCCTGCTTCTGCCTTCCCAGTAGCTGGGGTTACAAATTTGCGCCACCATGCCCAGCTAATTTTTCTGTTTTTAGTAGAGATGGGGTCTCCCTCTTGCTTAGGCTGGTCTTGAATTCCTGAGCTCAAGCAATCCTCCTGCCTTGGCCTTCCAGAGTGCTAGGATTACAGGCGTGAACCACCACGCCCAGCCGGAACTTGACTCTTTTTAAAAGAGTACTGGTCAGATAATTACAGACTGTCCCTCAATTTGAGTTTGTGTGATGCTTTCTCATCATAAGATTGAGGTTACCGATTTTTTGGAAGAATATCTGAAAGGTAATGTGTCCTTCCCAGTGCATCATATGAGGGGGTATATGATATTGATATGTCTTATTATTGGTGATGTTAACCTTGATCATTCGGTTAAGATGTTGTCTGCTAGGTTTTTCTACTGGTGAAGATTCTATTTTTCCCTTTGTGATTAATATATATTTTAGGAGAGGTACTTTGAAGCTATGGAAATAATATCCTGTTTCTTTTTAAGTATTTGCTCATTAATGTTAACGTTCATCAGTGGATCTTGCCTACAACAGTTATTACTGTGGTGTTCTAATGGTGATTTTCATTTTCCATTTCCCTCATTCTTTTCACATTTATTATCAAGAATTCTTCTGAAAGGAAAAGTTGTCC